ATCATCATCATCATCAATCAATCAATCAATCAATCAATCAATCAATCAATCAATCAATCAATCAATCAATCAATCAATCAATCAGTCAATTAATCAATCAATCTATCGATCGATCAACCAACCAACAAACCAACCAACCAATCAATCAATCAATTGTATAACTAATTGATCAATCAACAAGTCAATCAGTAAACCAATGAATCCAGCAAGCAAATGACCTTGAAAAATATCTCCGTGTTGTTGATTCCAGGCTTGGCATGAACGATACATTCAATGGTGAAGTTGGTAACGTGCAGTCGGGCCTTTATCGTGTGGGGGCATTTGAAATGTGGGCGATCTGAAAGTGGGTCATTTAAAAATTGGGTCATTTTGAAAAGTGGGTCATTTATAAAATGGGTCATTTTTAAAAAGCGGGTCATTTTTATATTGGGTCATTTTTTTAAATGTGCAATTGTACAAGCTGCAAAGTCAATGCAATATAAAACAGCTATAAAAATTACAAAATTACAAACCCACACACACACACACCACACACACACACACACACACACACACACACACACACACAGAGCAACTCACACTTATCAAGAACGACAGTCAACTCATCCACCCTATTGAACCCCTCGTCATTAGCGTGGCCGCCCTCGACCTCTCCACGGCAGACGACATTCTTATGGTGCAGGTCATACTCAATCTTGAAATTATCAGCCCTCAATATCGTGTCATATGACATAGTTTGCAGACCCTTGTGACCTTGACCTAGATTCAGTTTGACCTTCGGTGTGAACCTGTGGGTTATATCGCGATGACCCACGGTTATCCGAACTTTTGGCTGGGGAAAGCCGCCTAGTTTAAAGGGTTTTGAAGAAATATTTTTGACACTTCATCCAAATTAGATGCAAATAATATGATGTTAATTGACATTAAAATATCCTATTATAATAATAATTTACGTTAGTATGATTTTTACATTGCACTCTTTCTAATTACAATAATCATCAGTGGAATAACTACAATAATAACGTTAGCAAACATCGTCACCAGGTCAGAGGTCACATGGTACGATGACGTAACATTGAGTGTTTGTATGCGTGCATGTGTGTGGTGTTTGTACGTGTGTGTGTGTCTGTGTGTGTGTTTGTGTGTGTATGTGTGTGTGTTTAAACGTGTATATATTTAAAAAACAACAACAACAATTGTAACATTAACAAAAACATTACCGAGAGGAAAACAACAAAAATAACAATAATATTTATAATAAAAACAACGACATCGGTAATAACATCAACAACATCAACATCATCAACATCATCAACAACAACAACATCAACAACGTCAACATCAACATAAACTTAAACAAAAACATCAGCAGCAACATCAACAACAACAACAACTTGAGCGTCAACAATCCACCTCTAACTCGACATCTGAATAGCACGTGATCTCCTTCATTTAAATGAGTGACGTCATCGCCATTGTCATCATCGTCATCGTCATCGTCATCATTTCTGATGATGTTGAGGTTGTTGTTGGGGGTGGAGAACATTCGACTCGGCTTGATGTCCCTCCATTTAAGTTCCGTTATTGGTGCTGTTTGTGCGTGTGTGTTTGTGTGCGCACGTGTGTGTTTGTACGTGTAAATCTGTGTTTGTGTGTGTTTGTGTGTATGTGTTTATACGCAATTTTAGGTGACTGTTTATGTATTTTATGCGTGTATGTTATGTGTTTGTGAATGAGGCAAACTGTACTTGTTTGTGTAAAAAATTTGTGTATGTATGTGTTTTGGTGTGTGGGTGTATCTATATAAATATATATATAAATATATATATAAATATATATGTGTGTATGTGAGTATACGCGCGCGCGTGTGTGTGTGTGAGTGCGTGTGTGTGTAAATGAAACAACAACAACACTATCAACAACAACAACAACATCAGTTATAACATTACATCAAAAACAGTAGCACAACAACAACAACCAACCAACCAACAACTTGAATAAGAACATGTTGTGAGAAGAACTTGTCGTCTTTGTGGCCGCTGCAAAAGTAAACACCAGAATCTGACGTCTTCGCGTCTGAGTGAGTGAATAAACGAAAAAATTAAAAAAAAAATGAAAAATGAATAAAAGAAAGCAGGAAAAATTAAATTTTCAATTAAAATAGCTTCACATATTTGCAAACATCAACTCTGTAATTCCACCAAAAGCTGGATCCTGCCTGCCTGGGATGGGAAGGTCGGGGGGAGGGAAGAAGCCAAAACCGAAAAAAGTTTGCGCGCTATTTTTGCTTGTTGGAAAATTTTTGTAAAGTTTTTTCAAAAAAGTTCTTCTAAATGTAATATATATATATACTGCAAAAAATAACAAAGATGATTAAAAAGTAAGTGGAGTTGGCTAGGCTTCAAAAATTACAAAAGATCTTTGTTGGGGTGATGAAAAATTCGCCACTGTACTCATTCACCTTCATCAAATATCATTAGCATCATTCCTATCGTTACAACCATCATAACCACTAGAGTCGTCACAATCATCACTCTAAATAACATCATCATCCTCACCTAATATATTAAGGAAATAGTTCAGATGATCGAAGCCCTTCTTAACTTGCTGTATCTCCACGGTGTACCTTGCACCCCCACCTGCACTCCCACCTGCACCCCCACCCACACTGCCTCCGCCAACGCTCGTCGTCTGCTTCTCCTCCTTGAAGTCCCCGGTCAGTATCTTGTTTTTGCTTATGGTCAGGTCAGTCAGTTGGGAGGGTGATGATGGTGACGTGGTTGATGATGTAGGTGACGTGACGTCGAACGAGTCTGACGTGTTTCCTGTTTTGATGTTGTCGAAATGGAGCGGTGAGATTCAGGCGGGTGCATGTGGGTTGGTTTTTTTTTTCTCTAGTAATCTCAATTGGATAAGCAAGTATCGTAATGATTTAATGTAGTTTCTTGCAGGGTAACTTCTACTGCGTCATAAAACGCAATTTTAAAATAACAGTATTCAACCCAATGAGAAAAACCAATTTTAATTTTGAGAATATTTAACAATGAAAGAATTATTAATAACTAACTACCACCAAAAATATACCACTTAAACTTGTAGGTACTGCACCACCCAAAAAATTCACCCCACCAATCTCCAAATTTAGTACCCAAACGAGAACTTACTACCCACCAATCTACCCCCTAACCATAATAAACATGCTTATGCCATGACATAAGTGGTGGTGACTCGAGTTGGTGGCCTATGATGGTACACTGCAGCCGGATGAGCTCTCCCTCCTTGAAAATTTTTTTCTCGGGGGTGAATGCCACGTCCAAGTGTCCGTGGGCCGGTTGGGGTTGGGCTGTTTGTAGATGGGTGGTTGGTAGGGGTTAGGGTTAATTATTGTTAATTGTTTGTAAGTTATAGCAGTTGAATCTTGGACACCTTTAAAAATTCCTAGTTTGTTCTAAATAATCAAAATAATAATAATGATAATAATAAAATTAAAACCAACCAACCGACCAACCAATCAATTAATCAACCAACCCACCTTTCATCCAACCAACCAATCGACCATTCAACTAACCCACCCAACAACTAGCCAATCAACCAACCCACTAACCAATCAATCAACTAACCAACCAATCAACTAACCAATCAACCAATCAATTAACCAATCAACTAACCAATCAACTAGCCAATCAACCAATCAATCACTCCAAAAAACCAAATAAAATTAAATATCGATTTGAAACTGATTGAAATATCATCTGAAAACATTGTCGCTAGTGTAGCTGAAGCCTCTTGAGAATTTATTTTCACGTTTTTGTTTCAGTGAACATTTAAATGGATTAATATTTATAATATTATTGAAATTATATAAATATAATATTATTATTATAATATTATATTTAATTATATAATTATATATTAGAAGAAGAAGTAGTATAGTAGTAGTAGTAGTAGTAGTAGTAGTAGTAGTAGTAGTGGTAGTAGAAGAAGTGGTAGCAGAGGAAGTATTTATAGTAGAATTGCATTGACGGGGTTAGAATGCAAAAAGATCCGACCTATCACATGCAATGTGTGTGATGCGTGAATTTGCGTTGTTTGCGTGTGTGTGGTGTGTTATGTGTATGTGTGTGCAGTGTGTGTGTGTGGTGTGTTATGTGTATTTTTGTACAGTGTCTGAGTGTGTGTGTGTGTGTGTGGTTTGTGTCTGTGTGTGTGTGTCTGTGTGTGTAGTAAGTGTGTGTGAGTGTGTGTATCCGTGTGCGTAAAATGTGCATTTGTTGATACCTCTGAGATTTAATTAAGAGAGAAATGTAAAATAGAAAATAAATCACTACCATAACTACGGTAATTATAATATAATCATCATAATTATCCCAAATTATATTTTATACGCATAATAATAATAATTTTACAAGGCTCATTACATGGCCCATATAACATAAGCACTTGACGACGGCAAACAACATCAATTGTTTGTTCGCCCCATATAAAATATGCTTCCATCATTATCATCATCATTCCCTCATCATCATCATCATTCCCTCATCATCATCATCATTTCCTCATCATCATCATCTTCATCGTTATTATTATCGTTATGATAAATATCATTATATCATTATATATATACATTATCTATATATATATATATATATATATATATATATATATATATATATTAATGTTATTTATGTGTTGATGTTCTTGTCACTATATTATTGTCATCTTTTTTTCACCATCCTACATAGAACGGGGGTGGGCAAACTACGACCAGACATTTTGACCAGAAAAAGGAACCACAAACCTTAAAAAAGTTCTCCCCCGGGTCGAAAAAATTTGCAATTTAAGTATATTTGCGGCCCTTCAAGGGTAAAATAGATTTCAATGCGGCCCTCACAGTAAAAAGTTTGAGCACCCTACCATATAGCATTATCATTATTGTTATTATAATTATATATTATAGCATCATCGTTATTATTGTTATTATTACACATAGCATTATTATTATCATTATTATTATTATTACTATTAGACATCACCATCATCATCCAATATCAGGCAGAAGCAAGGTTGACAATTTTCCCTTGTAATTCATGTAGTTATATATTCTTCTCTCTCTCTCTCTCTCTCTCTCTTTCTTTCTTTCTCTCTCTCTCTCTCTCTCTCTCTCTCTCTTTCACACACACACACACATTTATATATTTATGTGAGCATAGCAGAGAGAGAGAAAAAGAGAGAGAGAGAGAGAGAGAAAGAAAAAGAGTGAAAGAGAGCGAAGGAGAGAGAGAGTAACAGAAAGACATAGAAAGAGAGGAAATTAAAGAGAGAGTAAGAGATAGAGTTTTAGAGGGAAAAGAAAAAGAAAAGAAGAGAAAGATAGAGAAATAGGGAGAATGAAAAAGAATAAAATAAAGAATAAAATATATGAAAATTGTACAAATTCCTATTTGAGAAAAAAATTCTGTTGGCAATCAAACAAATACAAAAACGCCTCATAAATGACTATCAAATTGTTTTAAAAATAATACAAATTTCTACATTCAAGTAGCAAATCGTTTTCATACTCGTATACACACACGCACACACGCGCACGCATGCACATATATATATGCACATTGCACATACATACAGAGATAAACAGAAAAACAAAACAAAACAATGCAAATTGCCTATCTGCTGACAACTATTAGGAACATTTAACATCGATGAGGATGATGATGAAGAGGAGGTTAATGATGATGATGATGATGATAATGATGATGAGGAGGAGGTTAATGATGATGATGATGATAATAAAGATACTGATGATGATGATAGAGATGATGATAAAACTAATGATGGTGATTATTAATAAAAAACGACAAATGCGTGTGTGCGTGTGTTTATAAATTTTGTATATGTATGTAGTCGTATTTTTGTGTACATGCTCGTGTGTTTGTTTGTGTGTGTGTGTGAGTTTGTGTGTGTGTGAGTGTGTGTGCGACTTATGCAAGCACAATAATATTTTAAAGTAGATATTTTCATAAACCACGTACGTATATATAATACAATCCTCCTAATTTCTCCACATCCCATGACACCAACATTCAATTATTTCATTGCCAACTGTTCACCCACATTTTAATATTCACTCACTTTCTTCTACATACTCATCGTCATTATTATCATTCTCATGTCTAAGATTTCACCATCCCTTCATCAGCGTTTACAATAACATCCCCGCGCTTTGTAAATGTTACATTCATTCTTTGAATTTATATATGTATGTGTGTATGTGTGTGTGTCTGTATGTATGTGTGTCTGTATGTATTTGTGTGTGTGTATGTATATATGTATGTATGTATGTATGTATGTATGTAGGTATGTATGTATGTATGTATGTATGTATGTATGTATGTATGTATGTATGTATGTATGTATGTATGTATGTATGTATGTATGTATGTATGTATGTATGTATGTAAGTATGTATGTATGTATGTATGTATGTATGTATGTATGTATGTATGTATGTATGCATGTATGTATGTATGTATGTATTGCCCCGCTGTGTATTTGAACCAAGTAAAGAAGCAATTGCTCGCAGAACAAATGTGTACAACGCGTGCGGGCTTTCAACTTTACAAAGTTGAAAGCAAACTCACCGACCAATCTTAAACTAGCAATCATTTTTATCACTACTACTACAACAGTAAATATGACCGCATTGAGTTGTTGGAGACGCTTGTTTCATTACCACCGCTGCTTCTACCACTAACGACTACTCTTTAAAATACTGCTATTTTTACTACTACTACTATCAATACTTCTACTACTACTACTATTTCTGGTACCATCTTAACTACTAATGATTTCATCGCCACAACTGCTGCTTCTACGGCTACTACTTCCAGGGTTACTGCTGCTACTGCTACTACCAGACTAATACTACAAATAATATTCCTAATACCATAGATAGTAATGGTTTTACTGGCACAATGACTAATAACGCTACCAATCCCACGGCGGTCACCACAACTACTGCTGCTGCTGCTGTCATTACCACAACCACTTCTACTACCATTACTGCAAACCCTGACGATCAACAGCAACAACAACGCCTGCAAGATATTAACCGTGATACTTGACATGCTTCAAGAGTTATTAATACGATGATAAAGAGGGTGAGGATGATGGCACAATGGCACATCAGCATGATGATGACCTCTATAGTTATGATGATGGTGTTGCTGATGATAAAAGTGATGATGGTAGTGGCAATGATGAAGAAAATGATGATGTATGCTATGGTATGTATGTGTGTGTGTGTGTGCGTAGGTATGTACGAGTGTCTATTTGTATGTTTGTATATATTTTCATACAAACATTTTGCACGCATGCATACAAAATGTTCCCACGGCCAAAACTCTTTTGCCTGTTTTAGATGCTACAATACAAAATAATTGTATGCACTTCAGTCTAGGTTAGGTATTATTGTTATTAATATATATTATTATTATTATTATTTATTGTTGTTATTATTATTATTATTATTATTATTATTATTATTATAGCCACTAATGTGGTTCTTTGATGCGGTGCAACCCCTTTGTAGTTAATTTTTTTTGTGTGTGTCAGTGGTGGGTGGAGGGTTGTGACTTAATTATCAAATACGGCAATAATTAGGAACGCATGAAAAGAATTAATAATCACAAAAATACAAATAATAATAAAGGTTAAAGGTTTCCCTCTCTCTCTTGCGTTTGCTTCAGAGGTTTCAACGACAAACACACACAGCGTATATGAATACGCGTGCAAACCACGCATCATACACATTGCATATGATAGGCGGGGATCTCTTTGTATTCGAACCCAGCCATAGCAATAGCAAGACCAGGTGCCTTTAACTATTGAGCCATCATGCCGCCCGAATAATTATTATTAGTAGTAGTATTATTATTAATTATATTACTCGGTTAATTATAATAACCACAAAAATAATAATCAAGGACAGTTATAATTGTAATATATTTACAACAATCAACAGTAATTATCAATATTATTATTGTTAATTATATTTGGCTAAAAACAATCACATCAATAATAACCAATAACCGTTATAATAATTAACAAGAAAAACAGTAATTATGACTATAATTATTATAATTTAATTAATTAATAAATTAGTTAACCTGTGAATGCCATGGACAGTGATGATAGCAAGAGTATGATGATGATGGACATGATGATTGCCCGCTCTCTTAGAGTTAGATGTGGTACTGGCCTTTCGATTCTTTTACTTTTCTACAAAGAAATGTTATTAATTTAATTATAGTAATAATCATAATTATTATTACTAACGTTTTTCTTCTTATTATTATTTTTAATATTATTATTATTATAATTATTGTGGTTCTTATTCTTCTTCATATTATTACTGCTATTATATGAACATTTCTCTTTCACCTAGCACAGTTTAAAAAATACTAAAGTACCGGTACCGGTGATAATAATAATAATAATAATAATAATAATAATAATAAGACTAGTTTTTAACCATGAAAAAGGAAAGATAAAGTACTCCATTCTGCATGGAAGTAGAAAAATCAAAGCAAGCAAAGCACATGCCGTCGGAAACCAGCCAAGGCAGACTAACCAACTTTCGACTAACTATAAGTTCAGGCTTTAAAACGCACTCAACGATGAGATAATCAAAATCTACTCGCCAAAACCATCACATGGTCAGTTCTACAACGAAGCACACAAAAACTACGGAGGCAAAAAACAGGCATTTGGATGGCTAGACGTTTCTGGACCCAATGGTAAAACAGAAAGTCTTCTTAATAGCGACTCAGACGCTAAATTTTTGAGTATTGTTTACAATCCTGTCAACTCGCATGCGAACAGTGCACCGAAAACTGAACCAAGATATTTAATAACAAAATATTATTTGATGAATATTTTAAACTGAACAAAGATATTTAATAACAAAATAATATTTGATGAATATTTTAAACTGAACCAAGATATTTAATAACAAAATATTATTTAATGAATATTTTAAAATGTCATGGGTAAAACAACTAGTTATACTACTGAAACATAGAAAAATACGATTTATAAATTTTCACCGCAACAACAACCACAATAACAACAATATCAATAACAAAGAAACAAATAAACGACGACAACAATAACAACAACAACAATATCACAAACAAACATATAAAAACAACCGCAATATCAAAAACAAATAAACAAACAACAAACAACAACAGAGACAACAACAACAACGATAACAACAACATAGAAGAGAAACGACAACACAAACATTGAGAGCAAGAGTGAAATCCAATTACTCAGAATGGATCCAATCTATCTATCCGTGTGTACTTGTGTGTGCGTGTGTGCACGCAGAAATGTACGTCTATATTCGTATGTGTATATGTGTACGTTTATGTATGTTTGTGTATGTCTAGGTGATGTTATCAACAAAAAGTATGTACGTACAGTTCACTAGTGTGTACGCCAAATTGTATGCCACTGTATGTATTATATATTTGTACGTATGTATGTTTGTTTTTATATTCGTGTGTATGTTTGGTTGTATGTTTATATGTATGTTTGGTTGTATATATGTATATTTGTATGTATGTTTGTTTGTATATTTGTATGTATGTTTGTTTGTATATTTGTATGTATGTTTGTTTGTATATTTGTATGTATGTTTGTATACGTTGGTTTCTACAATAAATAAATGCCTCTTCCTCCGGCACTAGCTGTATTGTTTGCTCCGATT